AACTTGTTTTTCCTCTGCTCTCTCTCTCTCTCTCTCTCTCTCTCTTTTCTCTCTCTCTCTTGTCTGCAATGGCACTCGTTGGTCATTGTGACCTCGCGCATTCAGCTTTTCCAGTATTAAGTGGCTCACCCACCTGAGTTCCCTCCCCTTGAAAAAGCCCGTTTCTTGGCTCGACATGGTTTCTTGCACGTCTCAGTGCTTTGGCAGGCGCTGTCCCCTATCTGTCTGCGTTTTTTGTTTCGCAACAGGACTATGCACAAAAGCTGAAGATGTCACGTAACCCCGTGACATGCGTGACACAGTCACTTTAAAGTGCCATTTCCCCACTCCTCCCTCCCACTCGAAGAGGGCGCTGTGGCCCTCACAAGTGACAGTTCTGACGCCTTCTTGTCCCGCCCATCAAAACTCAAAGGCTATCTTCTGTCCAGAGTTCAGTTTTTGTTTAGTTTTTTTTATCGGAGCACCTCTGAATCGACTGCTCAGTACAAGTGTCATCTCGCAGTCACGATGGTCCCATATGTCGCAGCTGCTTTCTGGACGTCAATGCGCTTGCAATAAACTCTGGGTGCTAATTGCGTCTGAGCACGTGGCTCGTGAATGCAGAGCAGACGACTGCAAAAAGTGATCTCGTGAGAGATGCAGTCTGATGCTCGAGAGCGATCGCTCTGTTCCCGTGCGCTACACGGGAGAACTTCGCCCACTAGGTGCGACTCTCCTTATCGTACGAAAAGGTTCTGACTGATTGCTGTCGATCTTTGCCCAGGCGCACCGCCACAGCATTCGCAGGTCGTAGGGAAACAAAGGAATGCGAGACTAAGTGCTAAAAAATGATCATCGAACAACAATTGGTGTCCGACCCCTCTCGTCAACTGGTATTTTGACAAAAGTTAGGCGCGTATGTTCAGCCCTTGTTTTTCTTCAGGTATGTGTCATATGGTGTGATCGAATTGCTATAGACGTGTCACGACAAATTATGCGACACGTCATATAGAAGGGGCAACTCGTCCGAACCACGAGACTGTGTTTTCCTGGTTGTTTATTGCAAGCCTGATTGCGAAATCGAGGCGTCGAAGTCAACGTTAGTGGGTTTTTGTAGACCAGCATTACGAAACCTGGCTTAGTGATCTGGACGAGTTGCTCCACTTGGATGACAAGCCTCATAACCTGGAGACACCGTGGTACTGCCGGTCAATCAGGCGTTGAGGAAAACTTATAAGGTCACCTCCTGTTTCATCATTTCTTGTACGACCCCACATGCGTCTAGCGAGGGGAAGAGTGGTGCAAACTGAACTCCGGTCAATGGCCACGGTACACGAATGCGGTACTCGCAGGATATTTTAGTTTGGGACAACTGTCATTTTGTTCAGTATTGGACAGAGACATGATCACAACTGTTTCAAAATGAAAATATCTCACCAAAAGCACAGCACCGCCACATTTTGTTGAAGTGAGCAGCCACGCCCACCGCATCTCAGGGATTCCGAGGTCTTGGAGGAAGGGGAGACCACGCAGCATCTGCCCTTCTGCTCACTTTTCGTTGAGACAGTGTTCGAAATAATCGATAAATCATTTTCAGTACATTTCAGGGGAAAAGTGATCATTCTCGAATAGAAAGGTGAAGGTATAGACCCAACGGAAAATTTGTCGGAAAGCGTAGCTTTTGCTGCTAATCTTCTGGCTATCTATTGTGGTAGGGTACTATGAATGGAGGTGAGCTTCTCGGCTCATGGAGCATCGCAAGCACTTGAAATGTGTTCACCCATCCCCAAGTTCCTTCCCACTTAGGCCGCGTTCATAGCTTGCGTTCGTGAAGAAATGCAGAAATGCGGAAAATGCAGAAGTGCGGAAAGTGCAGAAGTGCGGAATCTGCAGAAGTGCGGAATCTGCAGAAAAGCAATAGATACTTATCGACTTGAAGAAATGCAGAAATGCCGAAAGTGAAGAAGTGCGGAATCTGCAGAAATGCCGAAAGTGTGGAAAATCGATACGTATCGGTTGCTTTTCTGCACATTCCGCACTTTCGGCATTTCTGCAGATTCCGCACTTCTTCACTTTCGGCATTTCTGCATTTCTTCAAATCGATACGTATGTAATGCTTTTCGTCATTTCTGCACTTTCCGCACTTCTGCAGTTTCGGCATTTCTGCATTTCTTCAAGTCGATAAGTATCTATTGCTTTTCTGCAGATTCCGCACTTCTGCAATTTCCGCACTTCTGCATTTCTTCATGAACGCAAGCTATGAACGCGGCTTGGCCATAAGCGACAGTCCCCATCCATGGTTTACTATTGCTTTTGGCATTTTTCAGCGCTAACCGCGTAGCCTTATAAGATTATCACCTTACGATGCTAAATTCGTGTTATATCCTTAAAATGTGGAAATTACCTCGAGAGAACCTTTAGTGGAGTCATCCAAACACGTGGGATACAACGAAGAGGGAGCAGAAAAGTAGCATGCCGCGCGCTTCCACCAAATACGTTACCACCCAAAAGTTTCTTTAGGACAAACATGGCCTCCCTCTCCCAGTGAGGATTCCATGCTGGTACGGACGTCCTTAGGAGATTGCTCTAAGGATTCCATGCTGGTACGGACGTCCTGTAGGAGATTTCTCTATGTGCACTTGACCCTGCCTCAGAACATTTCCGCTTTCCCCCGCTTCGCAAGTGTAAAGTTCACAATAGCGCGTTTGTTTCGCGCTAGTCCACGAAACTTCGGGCTCATTCTGTTCTCTGCTTTATACCTTTTCACCATCGTATCAAGAAATTGTTCAGTTTCGAGCTGTTTGTCCCACTTTTTCCGATCGAATGCCGATATTTACGTGAGAATGTCGGAAAGTTTGTTGTCTTGTGATCACTGAATCCACGAGGGGCACGTGATAACGCAGTGTGGACCGTCCGCTCCCCGCCATCGCCCGTCCGGCCGATCGCTTTTGTTACGTGTCGTTCGGGTCTTCGCTTGTTCGGCTCTTCATTCTTCGAAAGTGCATACCTTCGCCTTTCTTTCTTACAAGTCCATCTTTCCCGCCCCAGTTGTGAAATCTATGGCTTCCCCAGGGATCAATGTTTATTTGCTCCGCTTTCTTCGCGAAACCTAGGTCATTTTGATTCAGCATGACTTCTTCCAATCCGCCAAATGACCTTGAGAGGTTATAAGTCCGGTTCTTCAGACATTCGATTGCTCTGAACTTCATCTAAAACATGTGATTTTCGAAAATGTGAGGTTATCGATTTGTGGGACTATTCAACACCACTAATCCAAAAACTCGAGCAAAATTATTGCTGAAGCTTTGCCTGTACGGGTAATTAGGGGCCCTTGTCACGACTATGACATTCATTGTTATCCCTGACAGTATTTGGCGCCGCGCCCTTTTTCACCAAAATCGATTAAAAAACTGCCCAAGGTTGTCTGATGGCTTGATTACGGATAAGGCATTCATTCTTCGACACCAGCGCGATCTAGCGCTCTGCTAAGGCTGAGCCTGGGCGAAGGAGTGGTTCTCTATGACCAGGCTCAGCCTTAGCAGAGCGCAAATGATCGTAGTGTCTTTCAAGCGCCGGCGCCAAGAATGAGTGTCATGTCCATAATCAGGATGTGAAATAGGCTCCGATCGACGAGCGTTTCGCCAAACCGCGACGTTTTTCGCCTTCGACGAACGCTAGCTCGATCGCCGTGGCGTTTTTCGCCAGCGAAATCGATACACATCTATTGCTTTTCGCCCAACCGCCGAACCGCGGCGGTTCGGCGGCGGTTGGCGATTCTCCGATCGATGACTATTTTTTGCTTTTCTCCCAACCGCCGTTTCGTCAGGGTCGCATACTGTGAACAGTGCCTAAGCGGATGTGATATTAATGTTCAGGAGGTGGAACTACTTCTAGGGACAAGTTTTGCTTTTCAAGTTGCCGGTCCTGTAGGATTCTTGGCGCCGGCGCCTGTTGCGCTGGTGCTAGACGTTTGAGGCGAAGCGGATTACTGGCGTTTATGAGGTTGAACTACCCTTGCAAACAAACTTTCAACCAACGCTCTTGTTGAGAAAGTCGGTAAAAAACTGGCCCGATTCCGGAAGATTGGGATAGTAGCATTTGAATAGTAGTAGAATAGCCCGATTTGGTAAAGATAATACATCGTTCATTTATTTGAGCTCCTTCTTCTGTTCCTATTTTACGTGTTCTACTCACCACGAAGTGATCACTACCATCTCCATAAAGTTTTATCTGTTCAGGAAATGTTCATGGATCGCGAAGCATTAATTCATTTCATTGGTGGAGCCGTCGGAGGAACAGCAGGTAATCTTTTCCTGAGCGGATTTCGGAACATTTTGTTTATGACTGTATTATCTATGTAATTTTGATTGTTGAACTCATTATTTTGACCAGTTTATTAAACGCGTTAGCGCTTGATGTTTTACATTGAATGCTCACCCTGAATTACCGTTGATCCTGGAAACTCGCTCGAGTACGCAATTCTAAACCGGGGGGGGGGGAGATCGCTTTCCACGTAATGCGGAACCTTCCTTTGCATTAAGAAGTTAATACTCCCATAACGACCTCCTTTGCTAAGATGTAAGCAGAGAACATCATTCTCCAGCACTTGAGGCCATTCGACATATTGGTTGGTTGAAAGTGCACAATGCTACTCACGCTCCAAAATTTCTTCCCTGCTACGGCTGCTCTCCCACAGTTACTACCATCTTACCAAACATTGCCGTCAAGCTGGAGGATATGAATAAGGTAAATCCTATGTCAATTATAATAACTGGTACACTTGCCGTCCCAGGAACTAGGGACTATAGCGGGCGTGAAACGACAGACAAACAGCAATTGGAAATTTTCCATTTGGGGTCAGATATGATACTCCCTCTCCTCACTGAGTTGTACGTGGTCATAAGCATCTCTAGTACATGTGAGCCGCTTTTCTACTCCATCTTTCTTTCTTTTCCTTCCTTCCTCCTCTCCCCTTTTCCTTTCCTTCTCCCTTCCAGTGCTCGAGCGAAGTTGCGATGGGGAAAAACTTCTGGACTCTCCCAGCAGAGAATGTTTGGTTGATAGAAGCCCTGTGACCGGTCATAAGGCATCTCCTGACATCGTAAAATTTCGTAGCTCGTAACGCACCATACTGCAGAGCTACACCGAACTAGCACCACACCTTTATTTATTAAGCATCTAGAAAACAATATAACTACAATTGTTCATGTGGCAAAAAAAATAGCTTTGGCTCATGAATAATTATTTTTGAATGCGAAAAAAGAGAAGTTACTGGTCTATGCTCAGTAACTTGTTTCTTAGCTTTTATGTTGACTTACTTGGAAAGTGAGCTAGAATAAAACCTCATATTGGGCTGGCGAAAAGAGAGTTGCCTTCTCATCCTAGTTCAAGGTTAACTAACAAGGGAAGGATGGTAGGTCGAAGTGGCCATTTGAAATGAAATGTATACCGGCTGAAAGGTCTTCGGACGGGAATTACGAAACCGTCTTCCATATCTGCTGCGGACCTCCCAGAAAGAAAATACGGAGCTTTTCTGGGGGAGAAACACTACAAATTGGCGGCGTAAGGCTCAGCGATAGATTCGTGGCAGCAAGGCCCGAGTGGGTACGTCGTAGGGCTCACGGATGCGTGGTCGAGGGTTTGAATCCTTGATGCGTGTGCTCTTTTGCATTTTTTCGAAAGTGGCCCCTGTGCACCACTTTCAAAGCCAGTTTTGGCATTAACACCTGTCCTGAAACGTCGTTGATGGTAATTGATTCTGAACTGATGAAGGTATTCAGCTAACCATTCAATAGGGAAATTCACTTCTGGCTGTTGATCTTTCCTCTTTCTTTGATTTTGAAAAGCACTTTACGAATAAGCATATACAGAAAAGTGCACTCCAAAGGAAGATTTTGCCTTCAAATGAATTTATTCTCCAAACGACATGACCGGAAAACGAATCCGAAGTTGTGCAGGAAGATGATTATAGTGGGGAAAATGCTTCCATATGAAGTGGCGTTGATGTGGCAATCATGCTGGAGATCGCGATGGGCAAGAGCTTCATTCACCAGTGGCATAATGTTGAATTATGTCTATTCTCAAAGAGTTTTCGTATCTGCTGGAGTTTATCGCGCTCGTATTACAATCTATTTTTCAGCGGAGGTGTTCTCCAATGAAATCGTTTCGCTATGGCTTCCATCAGTATGAGGAATCATTCATTATGCGAACGAAATTATCATGGACAAGTGTTATGCAAAATAGCTTTGAAGTGCACAGGGACCACTTTCGAAAAAATGCAAAAGAGCACACGCACCAAGGATCCAAACCCTCGACGACGCATCCGTGAGCCACCTACGGACGTAATTCCCACTTCGGGGCCCTTGCGCCCCCCGATCTTTTTCGATAGACCTTGACGCCAATTTGTAGTGATTCTCCCCAAAAAAGCTCCGTAACTTCTTTCTGGGAGGTCCGCAGCAGATATGGAACACGGTTTCGTAATTCCCGTCCGAAGACCTTTCAGCCGGTATACATTTCATTTCAAATGGCCACTTCGACCTACCATCCTTCCCTTGTAAGATTATCGTTTTAAACGCCTAGGTGTGACGGATTGACCCAATCGAGATCAAATCTATGACCGCATTTTTTAGATATTATTGTTTCAGGGACGTGTATCACTTGTCCACTGGAAGTAGTAAAAACGAGGATGCAGTCAAGCAAAGGAATTACACCAGTTTGGACCCTGTACTAGTCAAGGAGGCACGTTGTTCTAAACTTGAGGCTGTTTATTAAGGTGTTGAAGGGTTCTTAATTTGAAGGTTGGCTCAACCACTGGGTGATCATATGATTTCTTCAGGCCATCGCTCCGGTACTTCTCCACCTTCAATATCTCGTAGTACGACTGCTCCTAAGGGACCAATGTCGTCAACATATAAACATTTTCTTGGTTAGTTACCTCGTCTCAATATTTTATTACGATATCACTCAACTAGTTGATGGCCACTCAGCTAGTTGATGGTATTACTCTGGAGAATCTCTTTACAATTTATAGTGGAAGTATGTTTTCTAGAAAGCAACCGCCGCTTGGGTACTGATGTTCTGGGATGGTTTTAGTTTGGAAAAAGGTCATGTTTTATCAGATGCTGTTGTGTTGCTGTCTTCGTATGTCCTTTTCCATTTGTTTCAGGCGACATCGAGCCGCGCCATGGTATGTCCGCTGGACTTTGTCGGCGATTTCGTCGCAGTCACAAGTAAGAGATTCATTCCAAACATCCACGAAGACAGATTTAAATTATATGCGCGTTATCTTCTCGTTGAGTTTCGCTCATTACTTCGTTTTCTTCGTTTGCTATAACTTGAAGAACGTGGATATTCTCTTTCGTTCAACTCTGCTTTTATTGCGCTTGGTTTCTTTTTTTTCGCTTTTTTCTTTTTTGTCCTACCTGTGGCTCTGCAAAAAGAGGTTCATTTTGGATTGGCTCAAAGGCAGCGACAGTAAGCTGGGTGTGCTACCTCTTCAGCTTTGCTCTTCCAGTATTAGCCCCTTCTTCCTTCCAAGGGACTCACCCAGATTATAAAGTTTAAAAGAGTTATCAACGGTATAATTTCTCTCGCTGTGAGAGTAACAAGACCCAGCTTGTTTTGAAGGGAGGAAAGTTGGAAGAGAAAGAAGTAGAGAGAGAGGAGAGACGAGAGAGAGAGAGAAGAGAGAGAGAGAAGAGAGAGGAAGGAACAATGAGAAGAAAAAGAAAACAGACGAATGGGAAGCTCGGCGGTTGTTGACAGGTATCCTGAGACCGAAAAGGGTAGGGTAAGCGTAGAAAGATGTCAAAAAGGAAATGAGTCCTTGTACCAAGTTTTCCCACCTTTTAGAACACCTTTTAGAACACCCTTTTTAGGAACAAACGCCCTTTTTGTATAGTCACGTATCTTGAGAATTGACCCACATAACCATTGGGCTTTTTTCCTTATTTAATACTTTTCAATTGTGCACTACCACTGACTGAGGTTCGAATGAACATGCTAGCACGAACTGACGTATCACAACTGCACGATCATCTTCCAGACTAGGCTATTCGTTTCTAAAGTCTCCGCTCCCATAACGCAAAACCTGCAATTGCGCATTGTGGAAAATGGCGTTCAATAACGAAACTATAGTCGCTAGGTAACTTTCCAGGGAAGAAAAAAGCAAAAAGAAAAACATAGAGAAGGACAGTAAGGACCCCCTGACATCCTTCACTGTACGACTTGTCCGGATAGGCTAGCTTTATGCCATCAGAGCGATATCTTGCCGCCGCCTCACAAGTGGTTTCTTCGCGTTATCCAGTGCTAACAACATCTAGCAATGACACACTGAACTCGAAACAAGCAGTTGCCCCTGACTTTGGGGGGGGGGGAGGAGGCGGCGCACTAGGAAGGCGTCAGAACTGCCACATATGAGAGCTGCAGTGCCTTCATCACTTTTTGTGAAGCGGCGAAAGTGAGATAGTATTAGATATTAGAGAGGTGAGGGGCTAGACTTACTCCCTTAGAACGCCTACGAAACCGCTTGAGCGCGTGGGACTGTTCTTTAAGCGGCCTTGGAACTCAAGATGATTTTCGCCCGCTCTGGCTTAAGCCCAATGAACGCTCTGGAATAACTACGGAAACCAAATGCGTGCATTTTACAGGTGCTAGTCGGCGTCAACCGTTTTTTTTTTGCCCTGTCGCTTTACGGGATCCTATCGTGTAGCACCTTGTATGCTGGCAGGATTTCACATCGACAGAATGCCCCCCTCCCTTTCCAGTCCTGAAGGAATCAGCTTTCTCGCTGGAATCTTTTGAATTTTTTCATTTGTTCCGGTTGTAAGTCCGTTCTCGTTTCTTCTTCTAGGACCTAGTTCTTGCTAGAAGTGTCTTACTGGTCTCTCCTTTTTTTAGTTTCGCTGTTTTTCTGAATTTGGATGTAATTTTAGATCGTTTTAATTTCAGGCAAATTGTAAAGAATGAAGGGATCGGCGGACTGTACAAGGGTTTATTGCCGAATCTCGTCGGTGTCGCTCCATCGAAGTAAGTCTAGGATAATTTTGTTCCAATTTTTTCCTAGCCGTATTGCTCTGAGATTTAGCCCTATTTTCTGAATGCTTTCGAATTAAGGGCGGTTTATTTCTACTCTTATTCGACGAGCAAACGAATGTGGAACGATTCTGGATTCTTCGCTCCCAATAGCGCTATTATACATATGGTCAGCGCTGGTACTGCAGGTGATTCTGCTCTCTTTTTCGCCAACGGTTTCGATTTCATTTTCATTCTTCGTCACCTGCTTTTCAATGTTTTGAAATTTATGAGTGGTTCACGTGAATGGCGCCTGCTGGCGACATCCTCGTGATAGTTGTCGCCGCCGTAATCTGGCCGTCATTTTCAACAACAGCTGCGCATTGCTACATGAGTAATGTCGCGTAGCAGCGAATAATTTACCGAGCAAATAAGCCCAAGACGACGTTCGTCACGTGCTTTCCACGTGCTGCGTTCGTTTCCTTGCTTGTCTCATAAGAAACGGCGCCATGTCGGCAGTGATTGCATGATGATTAATCTTCTAGTTGTCATACATTCCTTGTTTCTTTCAATGAGCGTACAAGACTGCGTCATTGCAATAATTGGGGGCGAGCTTTGGAACTGAAATTTATTTGATAAAGCACTGCGTGAAGTGCTGATCATTGAAGCGAATCTGGTGCAAAGTTTTTTACGCAGTCTCTTTACATCGAGCGCTGATATGGAACGTGTTCGTTCAATGTGCTCTCAAAGAATGCGAGCCGTGTTCGCTCATAGAACATCTCTCATGATTATATGTGAGACCATGTACCTTTGAGCGCGGCCATATTGATCCGTATACCATGAGTCTGCTATATTAAGGGATTTTACCGAAACACTTCTCTTATTTATTCCACTTTTGGGTCCGAGTAGGTCCACCCACAAAGGCGCAATGAAACTTGAAAACAAGCCGAAAAGAATTTCTGTCAAAGTATTACTTGATTTTCTTTGAGTTGAGTACTGAATTTGTAGATACAGGTAATCTTCTCATGAGGAGACATTACCAGTGTGAAAATATCAGGGATCCTACTATTTGGGAAGATAAGTAGCTGCAGTGTAGTTTAGGTGGAGGGAGGGCTTTCGTAAACCTTTGTCAGCGTGCCAAGTTTCTTCAGTGGAAATCTATACTTTTATAAGGCTTGAGGCTGATATGAGCTTTATTTCCGGGCCACTCACTCCTTTTCATTGTGAAAGAGCATTTAGAGGACAGTTCCAAGGAGCGACTGAGAGTCAACTGATGTGAATTTCGAGCTAAAAATAAAGGAACTTCTGGAGTCGGTGAGCCAATTCGTGGAAAAAAATCCTTAATATTCATGCTTTTGCAGCACTAATAATGGTTTGAAAGCGTTCCATCCTACACAGCCACCCAGGATTATTTTCCGTTCTGGTATGCTGAGAGGAACTACTCCTAAATACAAAGAAAAACCTCCAGAGGAAGAGGATGCGTGGACTAGGTTCTGGCGACCCCTGCCAGGCTGTCGGTGGTAAAGCGACCAAACAAGATCCCACAGCTCAGCCCCATCAGGCAGCTGCGAGAATTCTCAAAGCAATAGTCAGCGAGAAGTAACCCGCCAGCAAGAATGAGCTGTCTTATGCATTCTAAGAAATCCGATTATCTGTGAATACCCCTCAGAGTTCCCATTTTTGTCAATAACGGTGTCTACCAATCCGGAAGTCGCATGACATGACGATATGAGTGGCGTTGCTTTCGACTGCCCTTTCCTTCTGGGCCTCTGCGGTGCTCTGTCTATCGCAATGCTCTTTCTCTATGAACGTCAATGTTCAGCTAGAAGATGTAGCTTGATTGATCTTAACTTGCCGAACTAGGCTTTTTGTGGCACTCTTGCTCGTCTGACCTCGAAAGCGAGTGAAGGTCACAGTAGCTGAGCGCATGGGGATGACCCATCTCATAGTACCCAACGACTTCCAAAAAGCTGGGGAATTATTACTGACAAGAACAGGATTAAATATCATATGAAGAGTTTCACAGCTCTCTTTCTCTCTCATCTCCTTGAAAATGCTTGAAATGAACTCGCTTCTGTGATCAGCTGGACTGACCGAGCGCCTGTTCAACCAGCTTTGCACATTTTTGTGGTGCTGTATTATTGTTTGTTACAGCAAAAGCAAGCGCGGAATATCGAATAGAAGCAGAGAATTTATAGAAAATGATAGTAGTGCTGTTTGGAAAGGATCACAACTCGTAATGGCCATGTAGGACAAGAAGCTAGTTCCTATAGTCTATATGGTCTTTGGAACCTGGTTTAAAATCTAGCTTTGGAATGCAGTGAACGTTTCTGCAAACGAAACCGTGGGTATTGGTGTTAACCTTGTCAAACGATTTTAGCGCTCATCTTAACTCTTCAATATTTTTTAATGGGTTTTGACGGCGCTTCTGGTGGGAGGACAGTTTCGGGAACGGCATGAAGGGTCAAATTCTTGGAGCACATACGGCTTTTGTTTTTCTACAGCACGTGTATTTGATGCTTGAAAGGCTACTTCCGGTGTTATTTTTAATCATTTGTAACCCTGTTCAGCGGTTATTAGGTACTAGAAGCAGGAGCAAGCATCGCGTCGCGGAAATTGCTTGGTAGGTATGACTCCTTCCATGGGTGCTGGTATATACAGGGGGGGGAAAGACATTTCGACCGAGTCACATATCAGCAAAGTTTTCGCAGCCCAGACAGAGGACGTGGATACGAGTACCAGGGCGATGTTCCTCTATAAGCAGGAGCTGGCTCTCGCCCATCACCTTCATGTACACCAAAATATGAAGTCATCTCCAGTCGCAGCCTGACTGGAGAAGACCTTTGGAATTCATGTCACCTCCAAACAGCTGCGAAACTTCTAGTATGGAGTCACCCATGGATAGCTACCTGGAGACCAGTACTCTCGATCTGGATGACCTCCAACATCGAGCAGCTCCGACAACGTCGCTACGGTCTAGGACATCATCTTCACCGCAGTCGCCAAGGCGCCAGTTGATGGTGGGGACCGGACGTACCTGGAATGGAGAGACCGATATTTTCTTCGTGGGCCCGGACTAAAGGTGAGCGCTGGCGGTTACATCGAGCAACTCGAGAAGAATATCCTCTCCACATGTCGTCGCCCGTACCTTCTTGGAAACTTTGTACTGCTACAGGATTGGGTGACACCACATGGAATCAAAGGGCGTTGGAAAACTCTTGCCTACTTGGAATGGAAGGGCGTTGAGTACCTGAAGAAGGTGGAATATCTAAGCAGGTCACCTGACCTAAACCCCCTCAATTACCTGGTTCGGGCGGAGTTCAATAGGGTGGTCTACAGTGGCGGAGAAATCAACGATCTCGCTGAACTCAGGCACCCACTCACGGTCGCGTGGCAGAATCTCCTCCAGAAGGCTGTGGCGGAGTATCGTGATAGTATTTGATATGCTCTTTAATATGGTGGTAGAAATGTCCGATAAGAATTTAATAAAGTGTAAGTTTATAGCGCCTCGAAAGTCAAGGAAGCCCCCCCCCCTGTAGTGTAGTTCGCTGCGGATGTAGTGCGGCTGCGTTTGGCGCGGTGCCAAACTCGTTCTACACCAGTTGTTGAAGCGGGCAAGTGACAATACTGTATCATATCCTTCGTATTACTCGTTTTCTACCACTTTTGTCGCATGCGCTTTTCAACAAGAAGGCAGAGAACGGCTTTGATAGGGTGACACACTCATACTGGCTGACACGCCCAACCGTCCGCAGAGAACTAGAGTGTATATCGACCCACAGGTAATGACGTTTTTCTCACATGAGTTTTGTATGTAAGTGAGAATTTTTCCCGGAGTTCCTGTGCTGTTTGCTACATAATTTTCTGCTCTATAAGACAATGTGGTCTGCTCTTCTTATAGAATGTGAACACGACTTTATTGTTACTTTCTTTCTTCGAAAGCCGTTAGTGAGCCCTATTTCATAAACCCATGGAACCTTCTATGTTGTTAGATTCAGCCAAAAAAAGTATTATCTCATGAAAAGTTTTCAGTATGATTATTTGAAATACATGCAAGTACCTCTGCTATTCTGATGTATTATGCTGGTGCAAAAGGAATGCAGGTTTAGCTACCTGGAATCTAAATTTATATGACTTCGCTCTAAAAAAAGTATTCATTCAAGCTGGTCGCCATTGCAGCGCACCTTTGCCAATGAGCCGGAAGCTGCATCATGCCAACATCTTAATAGTTGGGTTCTGGAAGCGACAAACTCATGAGGGCAGTTTCACACCATCTTGGTTTCTGAAGTGGTTCTCCCGCGAGAAGCTGTCAAGGTGGTTGAAAAAGTAGAGGTCAATAGGCGGCAGGTCTGGCGAGGTTGATGATCCAGTGTTTCGTGGCTCAACTTTTGCAATGTTTGCCCTGTGATCCATGAGGCGTGAGTCTAGCGTTGTCATACACTAGAACTTCCCCTATTCTACTGATCAGTGCCGGACATTTAGTTCGCAGTCTTGCATTTCGTCGACTTGCTGGCAGTACTTTTCTACTGTGTTTCTTTCACTCAGTTTCGGAATGTAGTGGACCAGTCGGCTCGCCGGCTAACGCCGGCGCGCCTCCTTCTGATACGGCTGCGCCGGGCGAGCGCGGCTTCGCCGCGCGTATTTTCTTTCACATATTTCTAGACTCAACTGATATCCGCCTTTTGTTCTGTACTCCACTTTTTTCCGGTGTCTGAAGTACTCTTGAGCTATTTTACAGATTCTTCGTCTGACTCCGCCCACCTCGGAGCAGGCCCCGCCCACAATGTTTGCCCCACAATCCTCACCGGCGACCCTCTGCTGACCTTAATCCACTTTTTCCGGTCTTCGGAGTGCTCTGGGACAGTTTTAGAGAATTTTTCTGGCTCCGCCCACCTCGGAGCTGGCTCCGCCCACAATATTTTGCCCCACATTTCTCAATCGGCGACCCCTTGCTGACCTGAATTCACTTTATTCCGGTCTTCGGAGTGCTCTGGGACCGTTTTAGAGAATTTTTCTGGCTCCGCCCACCTCGGAGCAGGCTCCGCCCACAATGTTTTTGCCCCACAATCTTCACCGACGACCCTCTGCTGAACTTAATCCACTTTTTCCGGTATCTGGAGTGTTCTGGAACCGAGCTACAAACTTTTAAAATGAATACCCTGCGATTTAGGGCAAGCTCCGCCCACTGTGGGCGGGTCTCAACACACTTTGAGCGTGCCCTATATTCGCCGGATATTTACATTCTACACTGAGTTTTTGCGACTTCCAAACACTCGCGAACCGGGTTACTGAATTTTGCGAGAAGCACCGCCCACCTTGAGTACGCCCCGCCCATTTAGGGTGTACCTGCCACAGTTAGTCTGGCGACTCCTTACTAACCTTAGTCCCTTTTTCCCCATCTTTAAGCTGCTCCGGAAGCGAATTATGAACATTTTTCTGCGGAACCCCAAACTTTCGGCGAGTGCCCGCCCACTGTGGGCGGGGCTTGCCATAGGTCAAGTGTGCTTTTTATTTCTTGTCCCATGCCCTACCTATCCCCACCTTGACTGGACCTCTCCAAGTCGTTCTTCAGGTCGAACCGAATTTCCGGACAGACAAACTTACAAAACAAACAAACAAACAAACAGACAAAGCGAATTATATATATGGGGTGATCATTAGCAGCTTCAGACCACGAAACCGTAAGCATTATCTTAATTTTTGTGCGGCTTCAGCTTTGGTGATGTCATGGAGCTTCTTCTCTGTACAGTCACCGGGTAGATCGTCGCCTTTACCATAGACTATCCACTGCCACAATCCGTTCGAGAAGCGGATCATTTCAAATGGCTCAGGAGGTGGGCCAATGACAGCAGTTTTCCGGCTCCTGGTCATTTCATGCGGAACTCACTTGTCAAGCTGCTTGGTCTTACGAATTTGCTTCAAATGGCGTACAAAAGTTGTGCGATAGACGTTGAGCTCCTTGGCAATGTCTCGCATGGTTTTGTGCGGACCAGCTTCGACTGGTTATTCCAGTATCGTGGTCAAGTGCTGCTAGACGGCTGTAATGTGGTTGGTCTTCGAGGCTGGTGTTCCCGGCACAAATGTTTTAACCAGCGTTGTAGTCGGCATTCGTTGACATTTCTCTGGCCCCATGCATCGTAATACTTTGAGAGGTATGAGCGGCAGGCTGGCCCATTTTGAACTGGTAGCAGTGAATTAGTTGCAAATCGCGACTAGACATCTAAAATAAAAACCAAATTATCTTCAATGAGCGGTTTGAATGAAACTTCACAACGGATTCAGAGAGCGCATAGAATGAGCTTTCCAACAATGGTAGCATGTATATTTGGTGAAAAAGAATCGTAGTTTCTTGAAAACAAAAACGTTTTGGAAGTGTTGAGGAGAGAAAACCTGCATCTCTTTTGCACCATCCTAATAGTATAATCGTTACTACACTTTGGGGATGGACGTCGGAGCTCCTTTGGTTTTTCTTTACCACTTTGCTCGTTTATGAAAAAAAAAACTTGGCAGACATCTTTGTTGGTCGACTAAGGAGAAAAAAGTAGCCGATGATTTACGTTTAACGATCCATTGCTTTGCATCTTTTTATAGCGAAAGGCCGGCATTTGCATCGGCTGCAAAATCTGTGTACTTTTATCTGTCGCACGGATGAAAACAGCATTGTATTTCAATCGTATCAGGGGAATGGTATGCAAAGGTTCACGAGAATACCCTTTTGTTTTGAGCTCCAACTTTGTACGGTTCCATGACGTCACAATTCACGTAATTATTGTATTGGAGGGAAAATATCTTCTGACAAGCCATAAAGTTCTATCTTCTGTGGTTTCGCTGTATTTGTGCAGTCTTGACTCAAGAAAAAGACGATCAGTAGAGCTGAAACAAAAATAAACAGTATACGCAAAATATTCGATTAAGTTGACATTCAAATTAACAACGGCTTTCACTCTCCATTTCACCAAGCGTGTTCGCGTCTATTCAATATCATTTTTCATGGATTGCTATGAACGTCTCACAGAAACGTCCCGATCCCAGGACCTGGAACAAATTCCCATCGGTTCTAATTCTGAGTTTTTTCGTTGCTTCTCGATGGGCGTGCTTTGATATTACTACGATAACTCTTCGGTGCCGCACCATTTGTGTATGTGTACTGCTATGTGTTCTCATAGTCTACATTTTAAAAATGTTTTCCCTACCGTAATCTCGTTCAGTGAGGGAATTTATCCTAATTGAAGATAGAAAAGGGTTACCAGGGATAAAGTTTTCTTTGAATCAATCCCTTGTTGGGATGTGGCACGTATCCTACTTCCATTCAGAATCCTTTACTTTACTTTACTTTATTAGTATCGGCAATAAGATAAACAGTGAAAAACAAGATATGCTAAGGAGAGGAACACAGATTCCGATAACTGCATCAAGAGCAAGGGGAAGTGGTTTGGGGTGCGACAGGGGGGTTTGGGGTGCGACAGGGGAGATTTTGCAACTCAGAAGGACAGTGGCCGCCCAACACTGTAAGTTCGATGGCGGACGTAATTCGAACTCCGGATACCATCTTAGTAGGTCCGCCAACCTCGCTGCGGGCCTGTTCCCATTGTCGCTTGAGCAGGGAAGGGGGGATAACACAATAAGAAAAACAAAACTCGCAAACTCGTAATGAGGCTAAAAAAAAGCTATGATAAAAGAAACAGCCGTAACAAAAGCTGACGCTAAGATGCGAATGATACCAAGACAAAACACTACACTGTAAGTCAGTCATGGAGGGAGACATCTCGAATCAAGATAGACGAGAAAAACATGAGGGAGGACCCGGAAGGAGGGGGGGGGAGACCAGTCTACATTGCTGCATAACAAACAGTATGAGGGATCCTAGTGGCTGCTGAATGCACTATGCTATGACTTACGTAGCCAGCCGATGTAAAGTCAGTGTTTTTACTCTCCCAGACAAAACTTGCACCATGTTACCATCCCCGGAGGGCAGAAAGCTTCGTTGGTCTGGATGGGAGCTGATTCAGGATTCGACCCCAGACCCCGTGCGCGTTATAAGCGTGATAACATAAAACTAACTTGTGATAACATAAAAGTCGCTGAAATGGAAAATCTTCAAAGCCACAGAAAGAAGTCGGATAGAGCGGAAAAAAATTCTGTTTGTTTCTGTTTTCACCGGACTATAACTAGATTTGAGCGGAGCGGCCGTATGGCGCCAAAAGCCATACCCCCCTGCACCTTCAAATCTAGTTATAGTCCGGGGAAAACAGGAACAAACAGAATTTTTCCGCTCTATTCCGACTTCTTTCTGTGGCTTTGAAGATTTCCATTTCAGCGACTTTTATGTTATCACAAGTTTCCTGAAGCGACTGTTAACAGGCAAATCTTAGAGATCATCGCCTTCTCTTCAATAAACTTAATTAATCTTGGTTGTTAGATGGATCTCTCTGGGTGGATCGCCGTATCCTCGCAATCCTCGCAATCGCTAGGGCCGGCGCTGATCCATAACCATCCGCTCCCTTGACGCGCGATCCCTCGGATTGCCTAGACTCTCGCCAGATCTCCTCAGTCGCATAGTATGAACGCAGACTTGCGCACTTGAGTTTGCTGTACAACAAATTAGCTCAGGGGTAGTTCGATATTATCATTTAATTTTGTGTTCATGACTTCAGTGACCCAGATAGAAGTTATGATTTTCCGATATACAGTTCGCTTTTTCAGGTTTTGTGGCCGCATCTGCCGTAAATCCGATATGGCTGGTGAAAACGAGGTTACAACTGTACCAAGGGAAGAGCACCATACTGAACATGATTCGCCGAGTTTATAAACGCGAGGGTATCAAGGGATTTTATAAGGTATTTTTATCGTAGTCATGTGAGTAAGTTGCTTTTATTGTGTGGTGGTTTAGGGTGTTACTGCCTCATATGCAGGTGTATCGGAAACAATGATACAGTTTGTTATTTACGAACATTTACGTGGCCTTCTTCTTCGTCACCATCTCGCAGAAGGCGATAAGGAGAAAATGGTACTTTTCGCGTGTGCTCTACACTGTTGTATCAGCACGTTTATAAGCTTCTTTTCAGGACTTTTTGAATTTCATGGTGGCTGGAGGTTGTGCAAAGTTTATTGCATGTGTTATTGCATATCCTCATGGTTAGGTTTTTATCTGCTTTTAAATTATTACTCAATTAGTTTTACGTTTGTTCACCCTCAACTGCTCCACTTTTAGAATCCAGGTCAAATTTCTTTAGGAAATTTTCTCCAGCTAGACCAGCAAAATTACTTCCCAACCGCAATCTTACCCCTTCCCTTCCTCCACCCCCCACCCCCTCCCCAAAGAATCACCTCCTTTGATGCGAAAACGCCGTGTTGACCTTCTGAGGACAAAATTTAGCAAGTTCAGCGATTACAAGTGCTTTGGCAATGACGCCGGGCGTACTTGCGGTTGGTGGGCGCAATATCCGTGTTCAGGGGTCAAGCTACTCCGAGAACGAATTCGGCACTATTGTATTACAACTCCAAGAACTCAGAAAAAAATTTCCGCTGAAACTCTACCTATAGGTGTTATTCGGCGTCGTAATCACGAATACGACGTTCATTTTTGGCACTGGCGCCATGGCGCCGATTTCGCGGTACCACCTTTTTCACCAGAGCTTGTGAAAACTTGCATACTGAGCCCGGGAAAAGTAGTGATTCCTCTCCCGCCAGGCTCAGCCTTAGCAGAGCACAGGTGATCAGTGTACACTACATTGGCGCCGGCGCCAAGAATGAATGTAATATTTGCGATCACGATATCGAATAATCCCCCATACAAGTTTTTATCGCTTTCGGTGAATTAGTAGTAGAATCAAGCGTGATATTTGTGATCAGGATGTTAAGTAACCCTCGCACGCAAGTTTCCATCGATTTTAGTGAGATTATGGCACCAAATGGCGCCAACGGCAAAAACTCGGCACTGTTCAACTATTACTACCATTTTCCGAAAACGGGCCGGATCTTGATCGACTTTTTTCTACGGGGGCAGATTTGGCTGAAAGTTGGGTTCTAGGGGTAATTCGACCTCCTGAACACGAATATCACATCCGCTCCTCCCGAAACTGCCTGGCGCCCGCGCCACAGGCGCCGGCGCCAAAGTACCCTAGATCACCAAATCCGCTGAAAACTTGTGCCCAGGGGTAGTTCGACCTCCTGAACACGAATATCACATCCGCTCGCCTGAAACCGCTCGGCGCTTAGCGCCACAAAACAAACACGCCACAGGCGCCGGCGCCAAAGTGCTCTAAATCACTGGCGCCTGTGGCGCGGGCGCCAGGCCAAGTGGATGTAATATTCGGGTTCGAATTACCCCTAAACCCAACTTTCAGCCAAATCACCCCCGTAGAAAAAAGTCGATCAAGATCCGGCCTGTTTTCGCAAAACTGGGGTAGTAATAGTTGAATAGTGCCAAATTAATGTTATTTTATGATCTGAGCACCGAATCCGTGGGCGAAGTTTCGGCGAATTTTTTTTTACTTTTTGCAGTATAATAGTGGAATAGTGTCCAAAATTGCGGCTACGTTCCTGATTCCTTTTTCTGTATTCGCTTAAAGTGATGCCGGTTTTTTAAGAAGTGGTTCGGACAAGACTTCGAGAAGAATCATCTGTGAAGCGAGGATTCTTCCGAACCCTCTACGATCTGTACAAGGAGGGTGGTCGTGCTATGTACCGCGGTTTATCTGTTCAGGTATGATGGAGGCTATTTTCTTTTTTCCCCAAGGCTCTGTGATTTTCTTTCGGTACGTGTCGTGCTCAGATTCATGTGGCGTCGGTCGGCGATTTGAGCAGCGTCAAGTTTTCATTCCCTTCTAAATGAACATGTTGCCAAGTTTTTCTTTTCTCCGTTTGCAGCTGATGCGTACGGTCCCAAATACTGCAATCACCATGGGGACATACGAAGTCGTCGTGTACATGTTGCATCAGCTGTGAGCGGTCCAGCGCCGATCGAACACTTTTTCTTAAGTTCCCACTTCTCACAGCCCGTGTTTGTACAGTGTTTGTTATGGAAGTTGTCTTTCTTGTAATTTATTAGATGTGTCTTCTTGATTCTAATTGACCTCAACTATTTGAGCGTCGGTGCTTCGCGACGTGAGGTTGTTATCTGTTCTCAGACAATTTTTCGAGTTATTGTATCTTATATTTGTACAGTGATTTACTAAAATGTTTTAGATTTTCACGTTGGTTGTATTGCTTTCACTGATTAGAACACCGAGAGAGAATCGAGTCAGTTTCAGTTGCCTTTAATGTTAAGTTTGCTTAGCATGCATACACCTTCCCGATGACTTCTTATACATATTTGTTCAAAAATTTGTTATTATTGTAACTTTTATAGTTGCTTTTCTTTCAAATGTCAAATTTAATCGTGTAGAGAGATGCTAATATTTTCCCTATGAGTCATTTTTGTTTACAGGTATGTTGACGCTGCGCTTATGTTATGCCTTGTGCTCAAACATTCTGTTTAAGCTTTTCTGATTTGTATTCTGTTAATTTCACCCTTAGGCACCATTTTGTCGATACCTTTGTTTATAACTAGGGATAAAATTATAAAGGAGAGTAATATGGAAATCTGTGTGAAAACTAATGATATTCTATTTAAAGTAGGTGCCCTCTATATCCCAGAGATGGGAAGGCGTAGCGGGCGGTCCGGGTTCGATTCCCGCCCGATGCACCAGAAAATGTGACGGTAGTCGTTGTAGTAATATAATGATTGAGGCGGGGCGGTTTCCGTGATCGCGGTGAGTCCGAGACAGGGTGGTCTCGGACCGTCAGGTAGTAGAATGCTC